AGAGGAAAAAAAAATCCAAAACAAACAAACAAACAAACAAGACACAGCCAGCCTCTACTTCAAACCAGCCGGCACAAGCCACCCGTGTCTGCCATCCAGAGAGGGGGGTCTCTGGCCCGTGGTGGAGGAGTTGCAGGGGGGATCGTCAGGGGGACAGAGGCCGAGAGACGCCCTAGGAGCCACCGGGCAGGAGGCGGAGGAGACCCAGAGAGGCGAGCGAGACCGCGGGCCCCCGCGCGCGGCTCGGGCTGGGGCGCCAGAAGTAGGACTGGAGCGGAGTAGAGCGATGCCAAGGAGGAAACAGCAGGCACCCAAGCGGGCGGCAGGTAAGAGAACCAGCTCCGCTTCGGGGCTGCCCCGCCGAGCTGCCCTGTGCGCCGAGCCCCTCGCCAGCCCACCTTACCCCGGGTGCCCCAGGACGCCACCCCCTCCCCAAGCTTTTGGGGGAGTCGCTCCAGGGGGCCCCTCTCCACCCTGCTGATAACCCCATCCCCTCTCGCCTTCTCCCAATTCCTCCCCTTCCCAGGCTCCATCGTTTGGGTGGGGGGTAGCTGTCCCACCAAACCTTCCCTCCTTAAACTTTTTTTCCTCTACCCCACCCCTAACTTTCTCCCAGTCTGTTTCTTGCTTCTCCGGCCAAAGTTGGGTTGAGGAATTGGGGTGCGAAATAGGGAGACATTCTTTCCACCCCCTCATCCCTTTGCGTGGTCAATGCCAGTGGCTTCTGGCCTCGAGGGACAGCTTTTCCTCTGCTGGGGTTTGGGGCGCTGAAGTGTGAGCCATGCCCAAGCCCAGGCTGCAGCCTGGCTTTGGGGGGAGTAATGGAGTTTAGCTTTGATCACCAAGGTGGAAAAAATCACTCCAGGAAACGCCTGAACCTTTGAATATGTTTGCTAAAAGGTTCCACGTTTGGAAATCTAATCAACACTCTCTCACTTCTCTAAAAAAGGGTGGGGGGAGGGGGGAATGCCCCCATAGAACACTTTGGAACAGCTCTGGTTTCTCTTTGCCCAGAGAGAGTTGCAAACTTTGTAAATTGATTTGTATGGCAGGAACTATCCCATCTGAATCCTCACCACCTACCGCCCCCCCCCCCAAAAAAAAGAGAGGAACAGGTTAATGGATCAGTACAATAGACCTAAAGGATTTTCTTTTTTTCTTTTGGGTTGCTTAATTGCTTTTTTAATAGTATGCTGGGGTTTTGTTTCTCGGAAGTGTAATATGAAAGTTCATTTTTCTCCTGCCAGACCCACCCACTGAAAAATCAGCTTTCCACTTGATTGCTAGTTTTGATTTGACATTTGATTGATCACCTGTCATCTCGCTGCCTTTGATCTATTCATTCTTGATATATATCAATAAATCACTCACCATGGTAACTCAGAGTGCCAGTGACGCAAGCCTTGCCCTCTAGATTCAGAGCTAGGCATGCACAATTATTATCTTGTTTAGCTTTTAATGTGGGCGTTTTTATTTCTTTGTGTCCTTTAGTTGAATCAGGGCTTCTGCGCAAAGCTGAAGTTGTTTTTCTTTCCCCCCCCCTCCTTACCTCATGCTTTATTTAGGCAGTATCAATTAAGGCTGGTCTTCTCCGAGACCCACCATCACATTTCCTTCTGTTCCAACTCGCGTGAAACATTAGGGAGAAGTTCGGCAGAGCACTTTCCTAAACTTTGTAAAGCCACCCTCAGCACAAATCCCAAGTTAGTTACAAATCTGGGCAAAGTGGGTGTTTGTGTCTGAGCAGGCTGGACCACCAAGCTCATCCTCCATCGTGGCCTGATTCCAGCCCGATTGGCAGGACATGTGCTTTGAAATATCCACAATTATCTTCCCTTCTGAGCCCAGAATTGCTTCCGTAACCGTGTGTAGATCAGTTCAAATCACATGCGGAAATATTTAGGAAGCCCTGATTCACGTATGTTTCGATTGTTTTCCCTTCAGAGCAAAATAATTAAAATATTTTTAGCACCATGGATGTTTAGAACTTGCCTCGTCAGTGAGGTGTCTGTTTTCAACTGGAGCTACCTCTTGTGAAATCAGTCTGTCCTGCCTACCACTGTCCCTTTCTACATTTAACTCACTGATTTTTTAAAACTTAGGGTGCTTTGCAACCTGACAGCATTGGGGTGCCTCCTGGCCTTGGAGACCCAGGAAGAGTAAGCCTGCCCCGTCTCGTGCTGGCAGCATAAGTTTAAGTGTAGCTAGATTATTAGAGATACGTCCTTATTGTTGTCCCCGAAGAGAGCCCTGGGCAACAGTCCAGCAAGAAGTGATACTGCCCTGAAAATCACTCTTTTTTTTTTTTTCCTTGTTGTTCCGGTAAAGACCATCAACAACTAGGCAGTAATTTAAATTACCAGAATGACTGGACAGATCTCCTTTGGTAAGCTCATTACAAAAAGTGCATTGCTCAGAATTGCACTGCTTTGAGTAGAATTATATTCTGATCGGGGAGGACCCAGGTGTAGGGAACACAGCACTGTATCACGTTCTTTAAATCAGACCCTTTTTTTTAAGCTGGTAGCTAGTGGTGCTGGCTCATCTATTTACTGGAGAGAGAGAGAGAGAGAGAGAGAGAGAGAGAGTTAGAAAGTTGTGACTGCAGTTTCAGTTTTCTGGCCTTTTGTATTCGTACTGTCTTTATATGTTTGTTTTCCTGGCTTTATTATTTTCACTGGAAGAAGTGGAACCCCTTGTCAAGCTGAACAGGGAATAATTCATTTGAACACAATGAGGCCCCTCTTCCCGTATTTGTTTGCTCACATATTAATAAAGTGGATATTTTTTCATGCAGTGTTTCTTTCCTCTGAAGTCCCCGATGCCGCACTCTGTGATGGCTGAGGTGGTCGTCTACAGGGAAAGTTAGCCACTTGGGGGTTCTTTAGCCAGTGAACACCCAGGGCAATGAAAAAGGTGGGTGCTAAGATTGGGGCCCTGCTCACTTTTATCACTGCTTAAAAATGAAACACAAGGCACAACTGTAAGTAATTATTTCCATGGACCGATGTTGAAAGCTTGATTTCTGGCTTGATTAATGAATAATGTAAGATAGAAAAAGCCTGTGAGTGAATCAGAGCTGAGACTATCTTTCCCAGGAACTGTTCGAGGCAATTTGATTCCTTTGCATTATTAGTCTTAAGTTCCATGTTTCACGGAATCAATTACAGAACTTTCTAGTAAAGCAGGTATCCAGCGAGAACGAACGGGCTGACATTATAAGTGATGGGGAATTTCAGCCCTGACTTGTGCTCTCCCTCCTCCTTTAAGGAAAGGGATGTGAGGTAGGCAGTTCTCTTTAAGGAAACAGCTAAGTCAGAACATTTCCCTCCCAAATGTCATTCTTGCTGGCTCTCTGAAGCTATGCTATTCCACCATACTATTACTTCAGGCAAGAAAAAAAAAAGTTTAGAAAGCAGGCTACAGTACCCCAGAGGTTTCTGCATGTGTGGATGTGTGTGCTTGCTTCCGTGGATGTATATTTCACTCACCACTAAAATGTGTCCACTTTCACCTGACAACATTGCTGAGTTCTGAACCAGAATTTGTAACCCCCTATCCATTTTAGGGAAGATAGAGAAGATGGCAGAAGGCTAAAAACCAAACAGAACGGTGTTGCGATGTGCTTGTATTTTGCAGAATACAGAGCAGTGAAAAATTTAAAATTGAACGCTTCTAGTTCTACCGTCTATCGCAGTCTCTGTACACACATGTGTAATACATATTTTATTTCACCGTCCTGAACTATCGTTCGTATATAATGCCAGCCAATTGCAGTAGGATGCACAATCTTTGGGAATGATACACACGCGAATATCGAATGTCTATACAAATGCTAGGTTCTGCTCCTGCCCACCCAAAGCGATGAAATGTTTCCTCCTTGCTGACTCTCAAAAGCTCTCTGAGAACCCAGATCTGAGGGAAGTCTCGCAGGGAAGAACAGTTCCCTGGGTTTATTTTGTTTATTTAATATGGAGATGAATAATGCAGATTTTGTTTTCATGAATGTCCTTGTGTGGCAGTAAACATTAGACTATTAGCAATCATTACTTAAAAGTTGCAATTTGCACCTTAATAGCACAGATTATTTGCGTGGGGAACATGTTCAACAGGGACAATTCTAAATACTGCAATGGAGTATAGAGATGACCTGAGCCACCATCTCCCTTCACCCTCCTGATAGCAGTGACTGGATTAACCGGTGAGGTCTCAGCCATCTCAACCAGCAGGGTGGGGAGGGGCTGGCAGCTCAGGGGGCCCTTTACCTTGCATTTACCTGGCAAGTGGGATGAGATTCAAGAGAACAGAAATTGGCGTGGGGTGGCGTAGGGACCCCGGTCCTCTTACTTTGTTCAAACATACTTCAGAAAGACAAGTTCACATCTGGAAGATTTAAATACTGCATGCTGTAGACCCCTTCACTTCCCCAAACAGCACGATTTTCACAGACAAATGGGGAAAACGAACACACACCCCCAAAGGGGCTCGGCCAGCCGCATGAACTGTTCTGGCTCTTCTTGTTATTTAAGGCCGATCCCTGAAACATAAAGGACAGATACCTTGGGAAGGCGGCCTCCATAGTGTTTTGGATGGAAATTGATTACTTAAGTGGTCCTCGGCCCAGGCCCCTCCCGGTTTCTTTCTCCCACCTCTCACCTCACCCTTAAAGACTCAGATTGAATGGGACATTTCAAAAGCCCATTTGTTTTAGGCATTTATTGATTTCATTTTTAATCTGCCATATCAGGACACAATACATTAACCCTAATGAGCAGATTGCAAGTGACAGGGAGCTCGAGTGGAAGCTAGGTAAGGGAGAGGGGCCTCTGAGGAACTTCTCCACGAAGCAAACCTTCTTGAGGCTTGGGGGTTGGACACTGCGGGCTGCTTTGAGGAGGCTGGGAGCCTTCCTCGGCACGACCGTGCATTTATTTTTCTACCACCTAAATTTATTTTTCTTCCAGCCATCTCAGTCCTCTTGCTACTGTTTGGGAAACCCTCACACCCAACAAATACTTCCTAGGCTCCTTTAGCAGACCTGTCCCTGGAAACATCTTGCCTTTTGTCACACTCTCCAGCAGAGGCTTAAGCTTTCGTTTCATCCCAGCTGACTTCTCACTCATCTGATGGAATCTCTCCAACTGGATAATACTGGGAGTGATCTATTTGTCTTCCCAGTGGCTTTGGGAATTATGCTCTCAGTTGGGCAGATTTTAAAGGGACACTGAGCCTGGCATTATTTGAGGCCACTGATATGATGCCCTCTCTGCTCACCTCTCCAGCTGAGCTTAGGAAAATCAGCCCGGAAGAAAAGCTGGGCCCGCTC